TACAATATCAAAATAATGCAAGTAAAATTGTTTCCAATTTATAGTTCGATTCGTACAAACGGATTTTGTTTTAAGATTGTAGGAATAATATTATGGAAATGTACAAAATCAAACAAGAAAACAGAAAAAACCGAGGCATGTGTTTAACACATTGTCCTTAAAACAAATTCGCCCGCTACCGGGCGTTTGTTTCCCAAGATACAACAGTTTGAAGTGGCTCTTCAAGACCACCCGAACCCTCAATAGCCTAGATTTTACCTTTAATTCAGCAAGAAAACTAAGAACATGAAATGGAGAAGAAGAGAGTTTTTGTATTCTTATTGGTGTATCAAATGGTTGTAGAGTAGTGACATTTATACTACACATTCTATAACCACCCATTTAAACACATCTATAAATCACAAGGTTAATGTGTGTTTAATATGTAATTAAACTGTAATATTAATTACAATTTCAGTTACAAAAGAAAGAAATATTTGCAAGAAAGGTCCCTGAACTTTTCTTTTCTTTCTTCCACCCATTAAAATCTTTTAGTTACTTCTTTCAACATCCTTACTATATTGATTCATTTTTCATTCATCTTAAATCTGTTTCGGACGTGTTGAAAAATGGGGAAAACCCATTTTAATAGATTGGTTAACACTAATTTTCCAACAGAAGATCTGATAATGAATAATCCATATTTGCTCAAAACTTCATTCCGTTTTAATCCAAAATGCATTAGCCCGTTACTCTTTATTTAAGCCCAAATTCAATTCATTCCAGATTGCTACAGTAACGAGTTCTTTGGTATCTGATTTAGCCCAAATTCACATATATGTTCGCTTTTACTAAAATCGAAGGGTTGACTGATACTCATGATTGCAACGAGAAGAAGAATTCAACTCGAGTAGATGAATGTCAAGGAGTATCTGATGCTGGATATTCGATCTTGTTTTTGGTTTTCATTTTCGATTTGTGGTCAATGAAAAAACAGAGTAAGGAACTCGACTCGTAATCCAGGATTCATTTTCATTCTCGATAGTTCGATTCGATCTCGTGTTCATGGTCAATCGATTGTGAAGCAGGAGATAGCGATGGTCTAATTTTAGAGGTTGAAGTGAAGGGTTTGAGTTGTGAATAAAAGTGCTCGAGTACCGATTTTGATAATCGATTTTGGATTTGGATTTGGATTTTGATTTATGAAAGGAGTTTGGTATCGAATGGAAAGAACACAAATAACAAATGTTTCGTTGATATGTTCTTCGTTCATATAAGTAAAGAGAAATTGATTTGATGGGTTTCTCAATTTGATACAATTGAATCTCGCATTTGGTTGAGAATCAAAATTTTTTGTGAATTGAAAATTGTTGTTGAGAATCGAAGAAGAATTTTAAGGCAAAATCGAAAGATTGATGATAAATTTTGTGGTCGACAAATTTGAGAACGATTGGAAACCTGATGATAATGAAAATATGAATTACAAAGGGTTTGAATAGGTCCTGTATACTCGTATCGAGTATTGCTTGACTGGAGAAGGGCTCGATATTGTATTTTGATGTCGATGTCGAGTTTCCATGACAAGCAGAATGAAAACTTGCAAGTGAATGTTACTGATATCGAAAGTTATGTTTCGACTGTGAAGTGGATCATAAAACATATGGTGAATCAACCATGAAAAACCGCATGGCCTTCGATACGAAAAATTATTCTCACATTGATGTGTCAGTTAACTACTCACGCTCCATCGTCAAAATATAAACAAAAATTGCATTTTCATGGGTAACACACAACTCATGTTTTTAACAATATAAAATGAGAATTTTGTTTACTAATTCATAGTTAATACTTTTAATGGATAAATGGTTATCCAATTGAATCTTTTTGGTAACTCTAATCTCAAAATTCAAAGAGGTGGTGAGGGTGGTAAGCGCTAGGCGTTTTAAAAACCGACCTCATTAGGAATCAAAGAGACCTGTTTAAACCCCTCTTATATCATTAGATTGGGTGAGCCTAGTCATAACTCGATGATAACGTTTTTGCTAACATTTTAGGACACATGTTCATATGATTGTTATACATATAGTAATCATATCATATACTAAATTTAAACGCTTTAAATGTATATATTTCCAATTGAATATTATAATTTAATTCTCTTATTAAATATTATTCGGGATGAATGTTCAAGTTTTAATTCAAGTTAAAATAAAATATTTAAGTTCTAATTCAAGTTTAAATAATATTCAAATTGAATTAATTTAATATTCAAATTTAAAATCTAATTAAATAATATTCTAAACTAATCTCATTATTTGAATATTCAGATTTAAACAATTAAAACAATATTTAAATCAAGAGGTTAATCTACAAATTTCCGAAAAGTTGGAAAAATCCAGAATGCTGAAAATGGGCAGGCGCGTCGCGTCCATGAGAGACTACGACAAAACATGGTTCTTTCAGCTTTCTTCGATTTTACAAAGTAGTGGAAAAAACTAAAACCTATTGTCTATGATACCACTGTTGGGTTTTCTAAGCATCAAATACACATTAACTAGGTAGCAGAAATAATTAAAAAATTACCTAAGTGAACATGTACACTAAGATCTAGGTTTTACTAGTTTTAGCAACGTACTTTAAAATCAAACTGAAAGACTGATAGATTACATACCTCTTGATATTTTTACTGAGACCTTATGATTGACAACCTTTTGCAATTGATGAAAGACCCGAAAGGAGAATCTCTCTAATGTAGTCAGACCCAAGACTCCAAGAAAAAACACCAAGGAAACCCTAATGAGGGATATTGCGAAAAATCAGTAAGAGGGATTATCTTTTCATCAATATGGAGTAAGAGAGGGAGAGGGGAACGAAATTAGAGAGCAAAAATCATACAGGATTTGATCCCTAGCTCCCTATTTATTGTCATCAGACAAAACGTCAAGGTATTGTTTGTTTTTCCGAAGCGAAAATGTCTGAAGTTTACGGAGCACATCTGCAACCTTTTGCAGCAATAGATGTGGACCAAACGACTGCAACCTATAATAAGAAGTCTTTTTATTTTTAACATTTGCAGGCTCGTGCAATAAAATGATATTAACCATACAATAGTTAAAAATAATTATAAATCAAATTTTTGTTTAGTTTAATCATATGCAAATCAAATATAAAGATCATTGTGATGATATCATTTTTAAATACATTTATATAAAATAATTAAACATAATATTTGCTAAATAACAATAAATAGAATTGTTAATTTAGCGAACACCATGTTCATTTTTGTTAAAACTTTGAAGACGATGATTTTTTTTCTGGTTAACTTCAATAAATTAGGTAATTTTAGTGATCAACTTAATAATTTGATAATATTTAATTACAGACAATATAACACCAAAAAAAAAATTCTATGAAATTTAACAAATGTTTTTTGAAATTATGTAAAATATATTCGAATTGTTTATAATATCTTTCATAATATTATTAAAATAAACATGTTGGAAAAAAAATCTATATTGAATAATATATCTTAAAGTAAGGTGAAAAGTGGTTTGAAGATGAGGGTTCAATGCTTCACCGTGCAACACACACACATCAATTTTTAAGTCATGAGTCTTCTAAAAAACAAGTAGTTGCAAAAAAGTCAAGTGTTGTGCGTGTGTTGCACCTACGTGACACAGCTAGAAGTGGTTTTCTTAAAAAACAAATATCCCCAAGAGATTTAAACTCTTAGAGTTTATGTTTATCTTTTTCAAAACCCGCCTTATACTTATCCTAGGGATATCAAATTCGTCCACTATCATCTTCCAGGAGATTATGGAATATTCTGATTAATCTTTAGGAATTGATTAATATTTAAACTCTTTAATTACTTAAAACTATTTAATTAATTACCAAAATAATTTACAATTAATTTATTAATGATAAAACTGTAAAAATGGTCCATGTGGTATACATTTTTTCCGGGTTTTGGTCCAAACCCCATTTTTTTGGATTCGTGGTTATTTTGAGCTAGTTTGCTTGTGGTTTTGGTCATCCGGAAAATTAAAAAGACTAAAATACCCCTGATGTATTTATTTTTTATTTTTCTTTGATGTTTTTAAAATTAAATATTTTTTTATCTACTTTAATAATTAAAAAATAAGAGAGGACCTCTTTCTCTCTCTCTCTCTCTCTCTCTCTCTCCTATACCACCATTCTCTACCCTTCACTCTATTTCAATACCCTCACCTCAATCTTCATTAACCTCCACCCAATCAAAAACTCAGTTGCTCCTTGGAATTATTTGCACATTTGCCATCACAACCATGGAGCAAACTCACATCAATACAGAGACATCAACATATTGTTCGAAAAGAGAAAAAGGATCAAAATTCATCCCTCGTGATCTTAATCCCCTGAAATTGCCACCACCCAAGTTTTGTGAATCGAGCAAATCCTTTAAAAATGGTAGTAAATAACTCTTCACAATTTCTCCAACTAGGTTAGGGATTGAATTTGAAGAATTCTAAACCCCTTCTACCACAGCCGGAGCAGAGGGCTGTTGCTGAACGATTTTTTCCTTGATTTTGACTCTACTAGACCTTGATCGTTTTCTTGATCATAGTATTTTCTTCTTTGAACTGTTGGGATGTGGATGTGGATGTGCAACACCGTTACTGTTTTTCTCGTTCAAGTTAAAAGTAAGGGTTAGGTTAGGAATTGGGTTTTAGGAGTAAATACATCTACAATTGTAGAAGTGGATATGATAGCAGCTTTGGAGCTCGATATCTTACATGATATCTCGAAAGTGATCTGATCATGGGCGCTCTTGAAGACATATTCTTTGTTGACATATAACATAGATCTTCATCAGGAGGAGCATGGAATGGATATTTCGGTATGATTTGGTGTGTATGTGTCATGTGTGGTCATCCTCATATGTTGAATCTGAAATCGGTTTTGGGTTTGATTGCAATTGAGGTCCGATAATGGTGAGAAAGGGATGTTACAAACATATCTAATTGGGTTCATCCGCTGGCATGTTACAAACAGATTTGAGCAGACCTGTGAGAGAGAAGGATGGAGAAGCGGCGACGGGGGTCGGTGACGGTCCGACTATGGTGAGCAGCAATGATGGAAACTCATGTGGCGGTCCGACAATGATGAGAGAGGGATGTACAGTAGTTGCCGGAGGCGGTTGATTATGTGTCAAAGGAATTTGTGAAGTAGTCTCATCTTCTACCTCTTTCCGGTGGAAACTCCAATGACATTCACAGTCAAGAAAGATTTGGGTCCGACTCCGGGTTTGAATTCATGTGTGTATTTTCTCTGCAGACCTGTGTGGGTTTTCTTTGGAACAAGAGAGATAAAGAGAGAGAGAGAGAGAGAGAGAGAGAGAGAGAGAAAGAGAGATGGAGTCCCCTAATTTATTAATAGAACTTCAAATTAAATAGGAAAAAATATAAAAAAATATACCTTGGGGCATTTTAGTCTTTTTAATTTTCCGAGGGACCAAAACCACAAACAAACTAGCTCAAAAGGACCACAAATCCAAAAAAGTTAAGGTTTGGACCAAAACCCGAAAAAGTACATACCATAGAGACCATTTTTGCAATTTTGTCTTAATTAATTACTTAATAAGTTAACAACTTATTTTTCTCCTTTTTCGTTATTGCTAATTGTGTTATGAGGCTAACCCAAAAGGACCATGTTATTATTTAGAAATATTACTAATAGTTAATAACTTTGGACACTATCTCCAACATAATTCTGTGAAGTGTTTGGTTGAATTTTTTTTTGTTGCATCAAAATTGAATTCGAATATATATATATATATATATATATATATATATATATATGTATATATTAAATTTTATGATACTTTACACATCTCCTGTTTTTTTTTGTTTCTTTTTTAAAACAACTTCGACACTCTTTGTCCTCAACCATCACTTGACCCTCTCATTCATCATCCACACAACAAATATATGTAGAGCGTAAAAGAAAGAAAGAGAGATATATACGTAGGTCATTAATTTCTTTATAGTCTTTGTCAATCATCCTCATCACCGCGAGTTTCGTTTTGTCTTCAGTCTCTATTCGTCCCATGTAATTAAGAGGGGGGGGGGGAGGAGAGGAGAGAGAGAGAGGAAGAGAGAGAGAGAGAGAGAGAGAGAGATGTATGTATGTATGTATGGGTCTAGGTCGTCTATTTATTTCTCCTATTCGTCTTCAGTCTTTATCACTTTCGATTACTTTGAGGGTGCAACGAGGGTAAGGAATTCCATGGTGATGGCGGAGCAGATGGTGCCCCGTGTGTGGGATCAGGAAGAAAAGAGGGTGGAGAGGAGAGAAACTCGGTTGCTGCCAGTGAAGGCAAGGCCGACGATAGAAGCTTGGTTTCGCACGCATGTGAAAGAAAGGGAGAGTATGCGTTGGTTTCTTTTGGGAGGTAAGGCTTATATATATATATATATATATATATATATATATATATATATATATATATATATTATAATAATATAATAATAATAATAATAATAATAATAATAATAATAGTAAAAACTAACATGTCAAAATAAATAAAAACCTGTAAAAAAAGTTTAAAAGATAAAAATACCAATTTCAAGTTTGGAAAGAAATAAATCTACAAAAGATTTCGTGTGTTTGACGAAGAGTGCAAACTGAAAATTTTTAGCTACGTCCCGTTATCCTCACCGGTAAAAAACAAGTTACATCATTATCTAACCGTTTCACAGGGTTGTGGAAATGGAGTTCACTAGGGAAGAAAAGAGAGAAAGAACGGTGAAAGAATGGAGATATAGAGATAGGGGTGAGCATTTGGACCTGTGGACCGGACCAGACCGGTAAACCGAATCGGACCGTTTTTTTGGACCTCCGGTCCGGTTCTCGGTTATAGGATTTGAGCAAAATCGGTCCGGTTTTTTTACCGGTCTGGTCCGGCCGGTTCCGGGTAAAAACCGGTTTTGGACCGACTTATTATTATTATTATTTTTAAATTGTAATATGTGAAATTCTTTAAACAAACATAACTCATTCGTTTTAAGTCAGATTGACATGCAATTTTTTTCAACGTGTAATTTAGAGCTTGTATATGATTTTAGACTACAATTTTGTTGTTTTTTGTGTTATATTCGATGAATTACAATCCTTCAAAGATGATATATCAAAGTTGAAATATTTCAGCTTTTCATCAAGAAATTTAAACTTTTGTATTCTGTGAAAATTTTTAAACAAACATATCTCATTCGTTTTAGGTCAGATTGACATGCGGTTTTTTGTATCGCGTAATTTAGAGTTTGTAGATGATTTTAGACTATAATTTTGTTGTTTTTGGTGTTATATTCGATGAGTTACAATTCTTCAAATATGAGATATCAAAGCTGAAATATTTCAGCTTTTCATCAAGAAATTTAAACTTTTGTATTATGTGAAATTCTTTAAACAAACATATCTCATTTGTTTTAAGTCAGATGGACATGCAGTTTTCTCAAACATGTAATTTAGAGTTTGTAGATGATTTTAGACTATAATTTTGTTGTTTTTGGTGTTATATTCAATAAGTTACAGTCTTTCAAACAAATGGTATAAAGTATAAACAATCAAAGTTTGATTGGTCTAAAGGGCACAAGAAACGGAAACGTATTCATTATTACGAGTTGTACCGTATCAAACCAAAAAAATTATTCATTTTAACTAATTGTAACGTATCAAATTCAACAACATATTCGTTTTAACGAGTTGTATCAAACCCAAAAATGTGTTTTAACAAGTTGTACCATATGTATATAAAGTTGTACCGGTCACAAACGGGTCTAAGAACCGGAAAACCCGGACCTGGACATGGACCCGGTAAGTCTCATCCGGTCCGGTCCATGGTCCACAATATTCTCCGAAACCGGTCCGGTCCAAAAGCCGGTCCAAATGCTCACCCCCAGATAGAGAAGCCTTCCGGGAAGAAGGCCGGTAAAAACCCCCACTCTAGAAGATAATCATTAGAACTTGAGACAATGTTCACTGATGAAAACCCTTCAACAACAGCTTCTACGTGTGAAATGGTGCCGTAAGGGGACCAAATTTTTAGTTTCCTCTAAATTTTCAAGGGAAGTCTCCAGAAAAGTCCTAAAATTTTACCTTAATTTACGAAAAAGTCCCAAACTAAAATTTGTTTACGAAAAAGCATGAATTACCGGTAAAAATGGCGATTTTACCCATTTTTTCCGGTTTACCAGTTTTATTACTTACCTGTTTCACTAAAGTCCCATTATTTTACCCTAATTTGCGAATAAGTTCCAAAATAAAATTTATTGATGATTTGACCATTTTCTTCATGTAACATACATTTTATCAGTTTTATTGCTGACTTAGACACCTAGTCATTAAATTAGCTGATCAAATGATTACGATGAGTTATATAATGTCATATTTACTGTAAAATTTGATATCCATCTCATCGGCTCATTTGTGACTATGTATCTACGTCAGGAAGGAAACCAATAAAATGTGTGTTTCCAAGAAAAAAGGGCAGAAAATGAGTTGATGTCTGATGAGATGGATATATTGGGTTACATAAGATTAGATAGACAATTTGATATTTCTTATAAACGTAAAAAATAACGCAGTTGTTGTTAGTTTATGTAATTATTGTAGTCTTCGTTGGATGCATTTTATGTTCCAAAAAGATATACAATACATCAGGATATCAAGTTTTATGCTAAACATAGCATTATATAACTCAACATATCAATCTCATCATCTCATTTAATGACTAGGCGTTCGGGTCAGCAATGAAACCGGTAAAATGTATGTTACATAAAGCAAATGGCCAAATCATCAGTAAATTTTATTTTGGGACTTATTCGCAAATTAGGATAAAATAATGTGACTTTAGTGAAACAGATAAGTAATAAAACCGGTAAACCGGAAAAAGGGGTCAAATCGCCATTTTTTATCGGTAATTCATGTTTTTTCGTAAACAAATTTTAGTTTGGGATTTTTTCGTAAATTAAGATAAAATTTTAGGTCTTTTCTGAAGATTTACCAATTTTTAATTTTTAAATATAAAATGTAATCAGTAAACAGTAAACCATACAGTACTTGAAGTTAATAATATTTCAAATCGAACGGACAGTAATTATTTGATTCAACCAGTTTAATCAGGTTCGACCAAACTGAGAATCGAGCATACCTTCTGATAGATCGCCAGGGGTGGAGCCGGTTTCCTTGCGGAAAGAACACAAACACAAACACAACAAAATCTAATCTTGCATCACTTCCGGCGAACGCTGCTGCGTGGCAGTGTACGAAATCCACTTCCGATTCGGTTCAACTTGAACCCCTGCCGTGCCGTCGGCGGTAGTTTCTTCAACTCCTTTTAGCGGTACAGTCTCCACTCTCTTCTATTCTTCGTCATTACCGTTACTTTGGATTTTATATACAAACGCCCAATCGTTGACGGCAACAGGGTTTCCAAAACCCATACCCTTCTATCTCTAATCCACGTCTAATCCTCTCTTCTTCTCAAAGCAGTTTCAAAAATTCACCCACACTCGCGCACGCACAGTCTGTATCAAGATCTGCGACGGCGATGTGGCAGACAGCTAGGGTTTCTTCTTGAGGTTTGTTATGGAATAGGACTGAAGTTTTTGAAATTATAACATAGATTTTTTTTAGATCTGAATCATTGTATAAAATTCATGTTACCATTCCTCACTTCGCTCCAATTTTCAATGAGTTATCCATTTGCGTCGATTTTGCCATTTTACTGATCTCTTCTTTCTTTGGTCTAGGAAACTTTCGAAACTACATACATATACATATTCAAGTAACGCCATGCCTGCCATGACGAAGGTCCAACTGTGAAAGTTTTTAGTGTAATTAGATTATCTTTTATGTGTTTTTTTTTTTGCGGTAACAGCAGTTATAGATAGTATACTTACTGTTTTGACTCTGTTGTTTTTGTTGATTGTTTAATTAATCCAGAAGACTGAACCTGGTGATATCAGGCAATTGTTTGAACGATTGATGAAGGAGATTGGAGAACCTGTTGAATTTGAACTTCCTGATTGGTTGAATAAATGGAAGCCTAACTATAGCATCATAAAGCGCAGTATCCTTTTCAAGTGATTTGATTAATAACTAGATTATACATTTTATGTTCCTAGTTGTGTTTTCTTTTAATCAAGATTTAAGATATATATCTAACAAAGAAGGTTAAGAAACGAATAAGAGAGGAAGATGATGGAATATTCTGCTCTTGCACCTCAACACCAGGTTCTTCTGCAGCTTGTGGTAGAGATTGCCACTGTGGGTAAGAACTAATGACTACTTACATATACAATTTGTGTACTTTTACACTTTTAGCCCTCCCTCAAAAACAAGATTTTTGTAAGTTATACTCTGTTATCTGTTGCAGGATGCTATTATCAAGCTGTTCCTCTAACTGTAAATGTGATAATTCATGCCTCAATAAACCATTCCACAGACGCCCTATGAAGAAAATGAAGATAGTGCAGGTATGACTGAATTAATCTATTTTGCTGATGTCATTATTATTATTTTATGTCATTTTATTTATTAAGCTAATGTGCTTTCTTAGACTGAAAAATGTGGGTCAGGGGTTGTTGCTGAGGAAAACATCATGCGAGGAGAGTTTATTATTGAATATGTGGGAGAAGGTAACCAACTTTGCTCTCAGTGTGTAGGTGTTTTTCTCAAATATATTTTTAAACATTATTTATTATTTTTACCCAAAAATGCAGTTATTGATGACAAAACATGTGAGGAAAGGCTATGGAGAATGAAGAGACAAGGAGAAACAAATTTTTATTTGTGTGAGATTAATCGTGACATGGTGATTGATGCTACATTCAAAGGAAACCAATCAAGATATATAAATCATAGTTGTTCTCCAAATACCGAAATGCAAAAATGGTTTTACTTTTCACCTAATTTTTAATTTTGAGTTTCATCATCAATCATCATAATAAATTAATTAATAACGATAGTTTTGTTTTCTAACAAAAACAGGCGGATTGATGGTGAAACAAGAATCGGGATTTTTGCAACTCGGGATATAAAAGAGGGGGAGCATTTGACCTATGATTATCAGTATGATGACCATTTTAAATTTTATTAAAAATATTTTATAAACCAGACAACATTTTTAAAATTTTAATGAAATTATCAGGTTTGTGCAGTTTGGTGCAGACCAAGACTGTCATTGTGGGGCAAAAGGGTGTAGACAGAAACTTGGAGTCAAACCAAATAAGTCAAAGTTTCCTTCTTCAGATGCTGCTTTAAAGATGGTTGCATGTCAGGTGGCTATAAATTCTCCAAAAGTAAAAGCACTTCTTTCTGGGAAAGATGTATGTATGTATGGTTTTTTTATATATATAAAGATTATGGTGTAATCTTTTAAAAAACCGATATTTCATTTTGTGTCATTTGATTAAAATGTAAACTAATTTGAGCTGTTGTTTGTTATGTTATAAAGGCTTACAACTATGGTGTTCGACAACCAGGTACAAAGTCTAACTCACTCTGTAATTATTTTGAATTTTGTTTAATTTGTTTGTATTAAAGTTTTTTAAATTGCAAGTTATGTTTTGTGTTTATAGCATATTCGAGACATGTCATTGATGAAACAAGAATACCTCATAATTGCATAGGGGAAGTTCTCAGAATAGTACGCCCTGCTTCAACGAGGTATACATTCATTTCTGTGCAAAAGACGTGAATACCCTTTTGTTTTTTTACGATTTATGTGTTGTTTTTTTTTAGTTCATTTGGTATGATCAAACGGTTTGACATCAATACAAGAAAACACCTTGTAAGTATAAGTTTTTTTGTTTGTCATTTATGCTCATATTTTGTGTTTTTTTTTTTTATGATGGTTGACAAATTCGGTTATGTTTTCACACAGATCATGTTTGAAGATGGTGTGACTGAGCTTCTTGATTTGGCGCAAGTTGATTGGGAGCTTTGTAACTTAGTAAGCTTTTTACAGGGGTAAAACCGTAAAATCCTCTCTTGACACATAAAGTGTTGTTTATAAACCTCGTGGGCTGAAACATAGATGCAAAAGGTATCATCTTGATCTCACTGACAAAGTGGTAACTCAAACCCTCGGTGAGTTTTTCTTTTTGGTGCAAATTTTATTTTAAGGGGTGTTGCTCAATGCAAAATCCTTGGGTTCTATATGTTGTTTGTCAGTGATGTTTTGAGCTCTTGAACACGTTTTAATTCTTTGTAAATTTGCTTGATAATTGTGAACGAAATATTGTTTTTGGTTAGCCTAACCTTGTCATTTAATGAAAGTTTTATGATTTGTTAATCGTGTTATAAGGTTGGATTGAAAGACATGAAACTTGGTTTAGAGAGTGGTTGTGTTTTTCTTTTTTGACATTAATGGATGAATAAGACACTTCGATTGTGTTTGTCATAATGTGCATAATTGGACAAAACTTTTAGGGTTATTTTTCGATTATGGTGTATTTACGTTTGTTTGTAATGACAAGATATCGAGAGAGACTTACTGAGAGCAAGTAGCCCCATCTTTACAACTTTTTGAGATAAAAATGAGAATACAACCAATGCATCATATTTCTCTTATAAAATCAACAACCTGAGATTGTACACAAGGCTGAAAAATCCCAAGGGAAAAGTAGAGAAAAGAGGATGAAGCATTGATAAAAAAAGATGATATTTAATGACTTTATGTAGTCTTATAAAGTGTTATAAACCAACAAACTCTTAAGACCTCTACTAGTTAGGAAACCTTTATAACTAACTGAGTTGTAATAACCATATAATTTCCTATTAGATGATAATTTTTGAATTACTGTAAAACAATAAACAAGTAACTATATAAAAAGATTATATATAAACAAAAAGTACTATACTAAATGCACACTTTTAGAAAAGGTTGCATTGTACAGCAAACACATTGTCACGTAAGATTAGGGTTTCATAGCATTACTTTTAGAATATGTTGCCTTGTGAAATAACACATTGCCATATAAAGTTTGGGTTTCAAAGCATTTTTATGGGAAAATGACTTACCAGGGTAATCATTTTTATCGTTTTGTTCATATTTAGGTAACTTCTTTATTTTTGTATACATTTGACCATTTAACTTGTTATATGTGTTCACATATTGTCATTGTGACCGGCTATAGCAGGTGATAATGACCATATGTGAGCAAATTAACAAGTTAAATGGTTAAATATATACAAAAAAAGAAAGTTGCCTAAACGTGAACCAAACGAAAAGTTAATTACACTGATAAGTCATTTTCCTCACTTTTAATAGCGATTTTATTTTTTCATATTTTGTTTGTATTATTTTTCAAACATTATTTTTAAAATATTCATAATTTCCTAAATATTAATTAAACATTGATCAACTTTAAACTTTACTTTTTAAATAATAAATATGTTTTTGTTTTGTGAAATATTTTATATAGCCTCTTATAGTTTTTTTTTCTTTTGTTTTTAAGCATATACAATATTTTTAAAGTAAATAATATCTAACAATAAAATTAAATATATAACAATAAGTATGAAGGGTCTTTTAAAAAAAATAAAAAGATAATATAGCAAATAAAAAAACAAAAAAAAGTCTATATAATGTAAATGTTTTAAAATTGTTCCAAGTTTTTAATACTTTTTAATTAGAAGTTTATAAACTTTTAATTTTTTTAATACAACATTTTAAACTAGTATTTAACGAAAATATTTTAAAATGTTATAAAAAAATATTAAATTGTCATACAAAATCTGTGAAACACTTTAAAAGTGTTGTAAAAGAAAGTTTATAAATAAATATATGAAAGTTATAAAAAAAAACAAGTTAAAAACTTGTAAGAAAAAATTAAAACATTTATAAAATATTCGTTTTAAAAACACTTGTATTAAAATTAAATAAAAGTATAAAAAAAGTTTTTAAAAATAAATTATAAACAAAGTTTAAAACATTGTATTAAAAAAACCTATAGAAAAAAATATCATAAAAATATAGTAAGAAATTATAAAAAAATTAAAAAGTTTATAAAAAAAAAATTGTTAACATGTAGAAAACTTTTTTTTTTGTACACATTTGATTATTTTACTTGATAAATGTGTTCACATATTACCATTGTCACCTGCTATACAATGGTAATATATGATCATATTTAACAAGTTAAATTGTCAAATGTGTACTAAAAAAATAAAATTACCTAAACGTGAACAAGACGAAAAGGTAATTACCCTCGCAGGTCATTTTCCCCATTTTAATTAAAACTTGTACTTTTTAATTAAAAGTAATTAACCTCGCAAGTCTATATAAGCTTTTGTTCTCCACAAACACACATTTATATCGATGCATGTTGATGTTAAATCGTAAAGTTAATTTTTTTGATTGAAAACCCACTCGGTTTCAGTTTTTATGATTTAATTCTAGTTTTTTTTGAAGAACCATCTGATTTCCATTTATATGACACGATTTCAGTTTTTTATGTTGAAAAAACCAAACCACATAATTGGTTCCTATCATTTAATATGATATCATTTAATATGAGAGTGCAACTTTCATATAAACACTTGAACAAATTCTATAATTTAGTCTAAAAAATATTAAATTTTTACGGGTATGGGTTCGGTTATATATATTTGGGTGGTTGCTGTTCATAAAACGAATCCACTGCAAAAATTCATTTTTTTTCAAAAACCAAAAATTCATTTTAAATTATAAAAAAATTGTTATTTTGAATACGAACGAGTTATTCATAAAAATACAAAAAATAAAATAAAAAAAATCCAACACAATATTGTCTTTAACAACATTTACTAAGTGAAACAAAATATAGAAAAAAATGTAACATCCCATTTCACAACAAAAAATTCCATTTTAATTAAGGTAAAATATCACGTTATAGAATCCAAGTTAATAAATTCATTCGTTCCAAAATGTAACGCTCCAAAACTCATAATAAAATTTTTGATTTTCAAAACCATTTTCATTAAAACCTCAAGTCAATAAAACATTGTTTACCAAAACATCAAACAAAACAGAGTATCAATACATCTATCAAATATCAAATCCAAGGGATAATGTGTACGATCACGCATTCGCTTTTTTCCGATTCCCTGAAGTACCTGAAACATTGAAATCCACAAATGTAAGTCAACACTTAGTGAGTTCCCCAAAATACCACATACAACAAATACAATTACAATGCATGCAAGCATGAGCCTTAAATCCGCCTAGACCGCTCTACTGATGGCCCGCCTCGTAAGGCCTATAGTAGCTGGACCGCTTACCTTGGGCCTACAGTATCAGCTGGAACGCCCGAGCCTCTTGGCCTTCAGCATACAACTGGACCGCCTCAACCAAACCATAACATGTCGACATATACATATAAACAATATCAAGAAAACACAGGTAATCATAACAAATCTACCCGCCTATCATATCGCTATAACATAACAACATTCTATACCCAAGGATACATAACATAATCATGTGGGCCGATCTTGGTGCCTTAGACCCATAGGCATTGTGAGAAGACTCAACTCGAAATCAAGCAGATAATACAATAGCTCCCTCCCAAGATCAAAGCCGACACCAAAAGTCACCTATAAGACAGTAGGAACTCAACCTCAGTCCAAAGCTCAAACTCACAAGTTAATTGAAAGTCAACTAAGTCAGAGTGTCAACAGGTCAACCCGCATGGTCAACGGTCACGTCAACAACCCAAAAAATCATAATCAGCGAGTCGCAACGTCGTGGTCATCCATCGGCCATGCTGTGGCAGCGTAAGGACAAAACAGTCGGGTCCTTACCCAGTCGCCATGCTGTGGCAGTCTAAAGGCTACGTCGTGGGGACTAGTCTGAACAGCTTATGTAACGCCCGTGTTTCTAGGCTAGACATTAAATATGATGTAATAGTCTAGGCCAACCTTTGTAATTTGTCTTGAAATAATAAGATGTATTATTTGATTATTATGTGTTTTATACTTAATTATTATGATTTAATAAGTTAAGGATAAAAATAAGCGTCGAAAATAAATGTTAGATAATCCCGATATCTATGAAGAAAGTTGTAGTGGTTGAAACAAGGATTCCGGAGATATAAAGAATACCGAAATCCGAGTTATAACGAAGAAGTTATGATCTGTCGAAGTTTCGCGACAGAACCGGCACGACGCTGTGTGACGTAAAAAGTGAATTTACGATAAATTGCTTTTTAGCCTTAAAAATCTAAACTAAAGTCGTAGTGTTCGTTAAACCGAGAGCGTGCATAAAAAGAACGCCCAAATCTGACTTCGTATGAGGAAGTTATGATTTTTCTAAGTTTCGACTTAGCAGTATGCAGCCTGAAACTCGAATTTTAGATCGAGTGATTTTTAGCCGAAACAACCTAGACGAGAATCGAAGATCTTGTTGATAGTAGTTCAACGGTAAAAAGACAGACAAAAACGGACGTCGGATGAAGAAGTTATGAAATTTTAACGGACTTTTCCTGTCCCGGCCTGTTAAAAATATAAATTTAAAAATAAAGTCAAAATTAGCCGACGGAGTCTAAACGAAAGTTGTAGAGCATACTTTCACCTACGCGTGGATATAAATAACGTCAAAAACGGAGTTCGTATGAAAAAGTTACAAAATTTTGAAGTTCTGGGCACAAATTTCGAGGCTGGTCCGAAGGATTACGCCCAGCGTACCGAAGTACGCCCAGCGTACTCGTGTAAGTGATCCGGAGTCCGTCACCCCCTACTCCTTCGCATGAGAGACATGTGTCATAGCCTTGACACGTCCGAGCTGATCCACTTCGTACGCCCAACGAAGAGATTTGCGAGGCAGTACGCCCCACATACCGAAGAATTACGCCCAACGTAATTATGTGCTTCGGTCCCCTATAAATAGGATGCGAGGCTGCCCGATTTGTTTAGAAAATTTTACTTCTTTCACCATTCTACTATCTTCCAAGCTACACTAACCCCCCCCCCCCCCCAAGCCTATAATATCATCCTAGCATCGTAAGCAAACCCCGAAGAGCCCGAAGATCCTGAGAAAAGAGTTTTTCGAGACGAAACTCTGCCCGCGTGAAGCCCGGTTTTTGAGAAAACATTCCGGTTTCATCGAAAAAGATTGTTTCAAGGAACGAAGTGCTGTCTAACCGCCGTCTTATCATGTGAGTGTGTAGTCACTTTCATATTACACATAGATATGAAGTATTTTCTATAAAATACGTGCTATGTGTAATTATATTGTTTGTTTATCTGAGATGGGTGTTAAATAGATGTTTTATACAACTTTTAAACTGTATATGTATTTTTATCTACAAATAT